AATCAGAGTGGAAATGGAGACACTTAGATCACAGGGATAAAAGTTCACTAAGGACTCCTATGAAAAATCATGCACATAATCTAAAAACCTCAGAACTGGATAAGCTTTAGACACACAATATCTATCAAAATGGAGCCATAGAAACACAGAAAACCTGACCCAACCAATAAACAATAGCATCTTCACACAGTGACCTGAACCAAACAATAAAGAGCAGAACCTTCACACAGCGACCTGAACCCAACAATAAAGAGCAGAACCTCCACACAGTGAATGGGCTGAGCACGGGCAGCTCTGCAACACTGTCAGGGCAGGTGTGCAGAACACACGTGCTGGGCCAGTGGGACTCGATCCATGTGCCATTCCACAAGATGAAGAACACTGTCCTAGCAATTCCTGATGCTCGATCAGACAGTAATATGCATCATATAGAAACTATAGAACAGATCTCAAATGAGTTGTAGCTGGTATGGTCAAAGCAGAGCCAGGTGTTGAAAACTTAGAAGACCAGCATCAAGGTAGCCAAAAGATGCTAAGAATGTCACAATGGAAGCAATAGGAGCCATAGGAGACGAGCCTCCTGGAAACGAGGCAGAACACTGATGCACTTGATGTTCTGTCATATTAGAAATGTGTCTATATTATTGACATCTTATAACCAAGAAAATTAATTAATCCAATATTTAGTAGACCACGTGATTATGGTACTAGGGTCTCGTGAGTCAGATTTTGATTTGTACAGTATTCACTCTGAACATTTCAGATATGGGAGATCAGAAAAATTTCTACAGATCTTCAATGCAGAGGCCATATTTAAAAGGTGAAATGTCTTTAGTGGTATCCAGCCTATTATCTCGTCTTTTACTTTAGGAAAATGAAAAAGCACTTTATTATTTTATTGATTATTGTTTGAATTCATGAGAGCAAAGATGTTAAACTGAAAAATATGGCAAAAAACAGTTAGTGATAAAATTTTAAATTGTAGCTAAACCTTAGCTGTCATTATATGTAAAAAATAAATTTATAATAGTACAGTGTATAATATAGTATAATAGTAAAAATTATAACCTATTAAAGGTGTCACTTTAGGTTGTAAAAAAAAAAAAATTCATGTATGAACAAAAGTCTCCCAAGTAAGAGATGTGCAACATTAAAACTTGTCACTGCTCACTTCTATCTAGATTTAAAAACTAAAACCAAGTCATCTCAAGATTATCCCACAAACATTGAAAAGGAAGGAGACATTCCAAATCCATCCCACAAGATTAGCATTTACCTGATACCAAGACCCAACAAGGAAGGAGGAAAAATGGGGCAAGGGAAGAGAGGCAGAACAAGGTGGGAGGGAGGGAATTACCGCTCTGCCTCCCTGATAAGTAAATGTAAACTCCTCAGTAACACCCGGCAAACCAAGTACAATCGGGAAGACTGTCTGTCATCACCACATTATTAGGTAAGATTTGTCCTGGGATGTGACAGTGGGTCAGTATACATAAACACTAACCACCACACAAGAACCGCATCCAAGCAAAGAGAGGCACATGGGAGGGTTTGGGGAGAGGAAAGGGAAGGGGAAATGATATAATTATATTTTTAAAAAAAAAAATCTCAAAAAATAAAACAAGTAATAAAAATTATACAGCCCTTAACAGTAAGATCTCTGTAATTTAGGCACTGAAGGAACTTATTTAAACATAATAAAGGCTTGTGTACGATGAACTTAGCCAACATCTGGGAAAAGCTCACAGTGTTTCCTCTAAGAACTAGAGGACAGAAGTAACCACAGGGTCACCATCAGTCAGCACAGTTCCAGGAGTCTTAGCCAGAGCAAATAGCAAAAGAAAAAGTAAAATGTGATGTAATGTGAATCTTAAAAGGTCTTATTAATAAAACAAACCCGGAGCCAGGTCTTGGGGTGAATGCTGAAAGATCAGAGACAGAACAGGCCACAGCCAACCTCACCTCGCCAACTTCTCAGCCGATCCTGTTTCCTCAAACTGGAAGCCTCTGAGTCCTCACCCAAATGGATCTCAGATGAACTGCTGCTAAAAACCTAAAAGCTTAATGAGGCTCTAGTTCCTGGTCCTCACATCTTATATACTTTTCTGCATCCTGCCATCACTTCCTGGGATTAAAGCTATGTGTCACTATGCCTGGCTGTTTCCAGTGTGGCCTTGAACTCACAGAGATCCAGATGCATCTCTTGCCTCCAAATGCTAGGATTAAAGGTGTGTGTGCCACCATTTTCTGGTCTCTATGTTTATCTAGTAGCTGTTCTGTCCTCTGACCCCAGATAAGTTTATTAGGGTGCACAATATATTAGGCACACTATCACCACAATGTGAGCTCCAAGTAGTAAAGGAAAGAGAAAATGATCCTCCTTATCGATTATATTATTCTACATATAGAAAATTTCAAGATACTATCCACTAAGCCAGATACTCTGTAAGCTGAAGTAGGAGGCTCCTAAGGGAAGGAAAGCCTGAGCCATTAAGTAAATCCTCATATCAAGAAAAAGAAAAAGACAAAAATACTCCATACTCCACAGAGACTCAAAAGATTGCTAGGCCTGGTATATTCAGTAACACTGCAGGACAGAGTCAAGATACAATTATCAATAGCATTTTTGTGTAATAATTAATGAAGTGTGTAGGAATAAAACTAAGAAAGTAATCAAATTTAGAGAAACAAAAATTTAAATAATGACTCTCAGAAGACTGATGAAGTTGATCGGTGATGGAGAAGCTGATTGGGAAAGAAATCAAAGGATCTATACAAACTGCAAGGAACTTAAATGGTATTAGAACAAACTTCTAGAAGAACATGAGAGTAGAAACACAAACCAAACTGAGAAGTAGCAACTATTCTTAGTTTCATTCACTGTAAATTTTGCACAAGAAAAGTTCCCACAGTATTTAGTAGTAGATTTTGGAGGGAAAAAAAATGAAATAGTTGTATACAAACATTTCTCATCAAATAAGGCAGGGGTTCCTTACTAACTTTTCCTTCACACTAGGACATCACTGACATGGAAATTAAGATTGAATAAAACTGAAAATGGGCTGATCTGATTCATGACTATAGATGCCAAACTCCAAACAATAAAATCTGTAATCTCAAATGAGTAACATATAAAAAGGGTAATATGGAAAAGAGAGAGAGAGAGGGAGGGAGGGAGGGAGGGAGGGAGGGAGGGAGGGAGGAAGGAAGGAAGGAAGGAAGGAAGGAAGGAAGGAAGGAAGGAAGGAAGGAAGGAAGGAAGGAAGGAAGGAAGTCAAATTTAATCTAGGACAAAAGCATTTCCTTGACAAAAACTTAGCAAAAAAATGACCATGTATAATTTCATTACTTTTTAAAAAGGTAATTACAAAAGCAAAAGTAACAGAGAAAATCTCAAATCCAATGGACAAGTATTAAATCTTCCTCTGGGAGAATGTGAGCAGAAAAACCAATACTGTTTTTAAAGTAGGTGTAGTGGGATGCCCCTTTAACACCAGCACTCTGGAGGCTTAGGAAGGAAGACTGCATGTTCTTCAAGGCCAGCAATAAGAATTTCTTCTGCATCATGATCTTGACCTCACTTGCTCCTGTGATCCCTCCTCCTTCTCTTCAGCTGAAGTCTAGGAGCTCAGCCCAATTTCGTTGTGGAATACTGAATCTGCTTCCATCAGTTACTGGATGTAGATGGAACATGCATGGGACTAAACTAGACCCTCTGAATGTGGGTGACAGTGATGTAGCTAGATATGTTTGGGGGAGTGCCTGGCAGTGGGACCAGGACTTATCCCGGGTGCATGAAATGGCTTTTTGGAACATATTTCCTAGTGTGGGATATCTTGCTCAGCCTTGCCATAGCGGGGAGGGACTTGGTCCTGCCTCAACTTCGTATGCTAGACTTTGTTGACTTCCCAAGGGAGGCCTTACCCTCACTGAGGAGTGGATGGGAGGTGGGATGAGGAGAGGTGGGGGGGCAGGAGAAGGGGAGGAAAGGGGAACCAGGATTGGTATGTAAAATAAAAAAAGTTTTTTTAATTAAAAAAAAAAAAGAATGCCTTCTGTTTAGTATTGTTTATAGAACTGTAAACATTAAAATAAAGCAAGAAAAAATATGAAGGCTGGGAAACAGCTCAGACTAATATTACATTAATATTAACAACTATACTTCTACATTAAAAATAATCAAAGAATAACAAACATTTTCAAGTAGTGCCATAAACAATTGCATTAAAAATACCATTTACCTTAGCTCAAATCTAACAGGAATAGGAAATACTACGTAGGAAGTTGAATATCACTGAAAATGTTATTGAAAATCTTAAAGGATCTAAGTAAATATACTATAGTATTTTCACATGTTGAAAGAATAGATGCAAATTTGTACAAACCATGGAAATATGGATTTCATGCAAGCTAAATAAAAATGTGAGCAGTATTTTTAATAAGTTTATTTTAAAGCTTATATGGAAATTCAAGAAATGCCAAAAACAATTAAAGAGGAGTCTGTGTAGAAGGCATAAGATTTGATTCATTGTTTCTATACAATGATCAACAAACAGAATGCAGAGGCAGAAACAGACTGCACACAGCTGATAAACAATGTTCCAGGAAAGTGGAGAGCCTCTTTAGGAGGTGCTAAATGTAAATATAATTAGAGGAAAAATTGGTCTTGACATATTAATCTCACAGCATACACAAAAATCAATTTTGTCTGAGTTTCAGATAAACAATAAAGTTAATAGAATCATAAAATTTAGACCATAAAGTAGAATATACTATGACTTTGGTTAGAAAAACACTAAATTCAAAGGAAAAAAATTAGCCTAAAATTAATTGAAAATATCAATTTATACTTATTCAAACTCGTCATTAAGACTCATCGTATTTATCAGTAACAGGAACATAAATAACACAAAACTCTTATCACTTAGTTAGAACAGCATAGACATCAAGCAGAAAGAAAGGACAAGATACTTAAGAACTCATGAAAAAGGACATCTAAAGAGTCAACTTTAAAGAAATGAAAATGTATATCCTAGGCTTAGCCACCAGAATGACCATCAAATAACCTGAGAGTCTCACATGTGAATAATATATGGAGCAATGACAGCTTTTCAGACTTCATGAGTCTTAACTGGCTTACACTCTGGAAAACAGCCTGACTTTATCCAGAAATACCGAATATGAACACACCAAGGTTTGCAACTTCACTCAGAATACATCTAAGAGAAACATGGTCTCCTAAGAACCAGGAGGCATGCAAGGATGTCCGTGCCAGCATTAATCTTAACAGCCCTAAACTGCAACGAATTGAAGGCATTATAAACTACAGAATATTCATAAAATAAAATATGGGACAGCAAAGTAAGTTCTGCAGGTCAAGTAGGTCTAGTGATGTAAGCCCATGAGGTATGAATGGTTTTAACATTTTTAAAGGGTCGCAAACTCACACACACACACACACCTCAGAGACACAGAGACCACAATCAAGCACTATGCTATTTAATATCAGTTGTCGACTTGATGAGACCTAGAATTAGCCGGAGTGATGGGTCTCTGAGCATGTCTTTGGGAAATCATCTAGCTGAATTAACTGAGGTAAGAAGACCCAGTGTAGAAGTGGGCATGACCGTTATCTGGGCTTGGTTTAGTCCTGGGCTATATAAAAAGGGGGGAAGGAGCTGAGGATAAACATGCATTGTTGTCTGCCTCTGGACTGCGAATGCAATGTCCCCAGCTGTCTCAAACTCCAGCTGCGGCAGCAGCTCTGCCAGAATGCACTGTAACTTTAAACTGTGGACCAAATTAAAGGCTTTCTTCCTTCAGTTACTTTTATCGGGACATTTTATTATAGCAACAGGAAAAGTAACCCCAACAGGCTCACAAAACCTAAAATAATTATTATGTGATTCTTTACACGAAAAGAATACTGGTCCCTCAAATAGACTACTACATAGCGAAGATTATTAATGGTCTAGGGAAAAATGGAAATACCAACAGCACAGATGAATTTCACAAACACAGGCTGAGCTAAGAACCTGCTGAGACCCACCTTCTCATAGTCTTCGGCTGTAAAATCTCTGTCTTTCTGAAGGATTTCATGAAGCCTCGCTTTCACACGCTGCTGACAACTGCTTAAAGAGTCGCTGTCACTGTCCAAAAGGCCGTTCATATTTGCACTTTTCACCATCTGGACCAGAATGGGGGTAAGCTCTCCTTCTAGAGCCAACAGACCCTAAGTACAAAATAAAGTCAACGGTATAAACACAAGTGAACTAACAGGCCAGCACAATAACTTCATGATATGCTACGTGTCATCATGCCTAAGCTACTCATCACAAATTAACTTTACTAATGTCATACTTCATCTTTGTCAGTAATGGCTTGATTAGAATTAAAAATACTGCCTTAGTAGAAATCTCCAAGAAATAGTTGATAACAATTACAGCAATTATAAAGCTGTTTATACCTTTGCAAAAGCAGCTGCAGTCATCTGGACCCGCCCTTCATCGGAGGCGTATATTTTGAGGTCATGTCGGTAGGTGCTATGCAATCGGAGCAGACCACAACCAGGAAACCCTGCATAATCTCCTGAAAAGAAGTCCTCAAATCACTTAAGCTATATTTCTGTTTTGTTATAGTTCTGTAAATGTTTAATAAGACCACAAGGTAGAAGCAAAGTGTCCAGACTCAATCAAATTACAGCACTTACCTTGACCTCCAGGGTACATACACCTAAAAGCTCTTCCTAGCTCTTCAGCCTGAACCCTGCCTGCTGGAGTTAGCTCTCCTCCCCATTTGAGAACCAGCAGTAAGGATGGCTCCTCTCTTCGGTTATCTAAGAAAAACATGAGTAATAGAACAAATGTTAACTTTGTTTAGACAGGTCTCGGTATTAATTTTTACTCGGGGTTCTTTGCTTTGTTTTTAGTGGAAGATGGCCCATATGCAAATGATTTTATTCTCTAAATGTGCCTCGTTGTGGACTGCTGCTTCCCACAGGAATGCCCTTCATTCTCCCTTTAAAGCTCTTACTGAAGTGTTCAAGTCTCTTTCAGTTAGGTAGCAGGATATCGATGTTCTACAGAGAACTATCCTCTCTCCCTCCCCTCCCTTCTAATGTCCAGGCTATTGCTATTGCCAGAGATAGATAATAAATCCTTTTTGCTGAAGACACCATGTACTTCGGGGCATAGAAACTCTTGGGCTGGAACTGACCTGAAAGACTCTTCCTTAAGAACTGGCTTTCATGGTACAAGAAGGCCATGCAAGCTTCCAAAAGAGGGAAGCAACCAACAGCCCTACCCAGCTCTGACAACTGTGAACCACATCAATGACTGGCAAGGCACTACAACCCTATGAGTGCAGTAGTGGCATGTATATCTTGGTGTAACCAACAGCTTTCCAAATGTACTCAAGACCTGCTCAACAAGAGGGATGCCATGCCCAATACTGGAAATAGCTAACTACTCAGTGCTCGTGAGGTCATGGTTATTGGAGGAGAATCTACAATCACTAATCCACCATACTGGCATGAACCCTAATAACAATCTATAAGCATCTGTCCTTATACCGACAGATAAGTGTAGTCCTCATCCTGACCCCGCAATCAAGGAAATTTTTCTTTGCAACAGATGGAGGCCACTACAAAAAAATCCACAACCAATAAAAATGCAGATTGTGGAGCCCACTCCCAAAGAATAGATCCATAAAATACTCCCACACCTAGGGAAATAGTATAGAAGAGGGCCAGAAAGATTCTAAGAGCCAGAGGCTCAGGGAGTTTCCAATGAAACTGTGTCTCTTAGTAACGTCAGAAGCCACACTCATAAAGTCTCAAAGACATGACTGCCCAAACCTAAGCTGAACAAAGACGACACAGATGAACACACAAAACTGGACGAGAAAAAGCCAAGGGCCTCAGCCTGACACAAAGATCTACAGGCAGCTGAGTTGAGCTGGGAGAGGGAGAAAGGGAGGGAGAGGGGGACGGGGTCAGGGATGGGGTCCTCCCCAGGGAAGAGCACACCACCTGGTTGTCCAGTACTAAGTGGCCAGCTGTGGAAACACACATACAAGTAGCATTATATGGCCTGAACAGTTTATATTTAGTGAAAAAAAAGAGGCCATGAAGTTGAAGGGCAGTGGGGAGGGGAGGCAGTGTCCCACGCCTTTAATCCCAGCACTCGGAGGCAGAGCCAGGCGGAGCTCTGTGAGTTCGAGGCCAGCCTGGTCTATAGCTTGAGTTCCAGGACAGCCAGGGCTACACAAAGAAAGCCTGTCTTGAAAACTAAACAAAAAGGGGCTAGAGAGATGGCTCAGCGGTTAAGGGGGATTTGGGAGAGTTTGGAGGGGAGAAAGGGAAGGGAAATGTGTTGTAATTAAATTATAATCTCAAAAATAAACAAACCAAAAATATATTTAAAGAATAAGAAGCATAGTTAACAAAATACTCATTTTAGTTGTTTTTTACACAGCACACCAATCCCAAAGGCTATTGAGCAGAAAATGGTCTAAGTTAGCAAAATAAAGTAAGTTCTTCCATATACATAATTGCAAGAGAGATTAAAAATTATATACCTTCCTCCTCACTAGACGTTTTAGGACAGCCATGAGGGAGATAGGTCAATTGGACCTTACGATTTATTCCAGAAAAATGACCATACCTGAAAAATAAAATACCAATTAGATTATAAAGTATTAATGAAGTATTGATTGACTTCCTAAAGAAAATCTCTTCTACTGCCTTGATGGAGTCTTTAAAAATACCCTAGTCAAAAAAAAAAAAAAAAAAAAATAAAAGAATCGATGGTTCCAAGACCAAGTTAGACAAAATTCAGGCATAGG